TTAAGATAGCGAAGTAGCCTTAAATATAATGATTACTGAAATTTTTAATAGATGCACAGCTCTAACAGTTCGATAATTTCGGATGAAATTTCGTAGACCAGGATTACGTCTCTACAAAACCATAGACCCATTTCTTTAAAAAAAGAAACTAAATTAAATCTTTTGCCTTTTTTTTTTAAGAACAAAAAAAAAAAACAATATATAAAATTTTTTATTTTTATTAATAAAAGAAATGGTTCTATAGACTTGCAGAGACGTAAAACTTTTCGGTTAGGATTAGGGTTACACTTATGTGAGAACATAAAATTAAATTTATTAAATTTGAAGTTCACACACTGTTTGTAACATCCATTTGCATTTGGAGTCGGCTTTAAATCTAAAACAATATAAACATACTTTGTAACAGCTAAAGCTGAGTTTGGCTGATGCTGAGAATTTAATATGAAAATTTTAACATTTTAGAACGTTAGGATTTAGGGCAATAAAATGTAGATTTTAATATATAGAGGCTTAAAGTTCTATTTCAGCCAACCGCAGCTTCAGCCGCCACGTTATTTATCTTAAACAAATATCGATATGTATATAAATATGTATACTGCATTACAATGATATTTAAATTTAGCACAGGCCGAGTCGAGGATTATGAACTTAGGAAATATCGGAAAAAAAATGAATACTCGAGAAATTCAAAAAAAATTTATAATATAGAAAGAATAATCGACCCGACTTAGTAGACTTAGCCGATTTTTAAGAAAATTTCCCATAAGATACAATTTATAACGTAATTAATAGTAAATGAGAATGATATGTTTGTGACAAATTTTTTAATATCAAGATCTAATCTGATCTATAATATTTCACTACAATTTTGCATAAATTTTTTTTTTAGTTTTAAATTACAGATAATGTTCAAATCCTAAACAATTATTTATTTGTCAGCATTGTAAAATTTGCAAATATGCATTTAATCATTTTTCAACTTAATCACCACCAAGCATCACTCTTTAGATCCGGTTTCAAAGTACTATTAGGTTGATTTAAATTGGTATTGTTCTCTGAATTTTGAACCCAACCACTATTACTCTTTGACCAATTAGGAATCTCCCTAGGTTCATTACTTCTTCCACGTGGCTCTTCGACAAACTTATCCGAAGATTGAGCACTCCAGGGTGGATTCATTTCATTTCGAGTCTTGTTCGAGGCCTGAAAATTCCATGAATCTGTTTGAGACTTGTCAGATTTAGCTCCCCAGGATGTATTACCTTCAGTTTGTGACTTGTTAGTGGTTTGAGAACCCCAAGGGTCAGCTTGAGACTTATCGGCTTTAACACCCCATGATGTGTTTGTTTCAGGTTGTGACTTATCTGCAGTTTGAGAACCCCAGGTATCACTTCGAGATTTATCAGCTTTAACACCCCAGGATGAATTCGTTTCTGTTTGTAACTTATCAGCGGCTTGAGAGCCCCATGGTTCATTTTTTTGTGGCTTGTCGGCTTTACCACCCCAGCCTAAATCTGTATTATCTCGTGGTTTGTCAGCAGCTTGAGATCCCCAAGTATCACTTTGAGATTTGGTTTTAGCATCCCAAGATGATTTTGTTTCTGTTTGTGACTTGTCAGCGCTTTGAGAACTCCATGGTCCATTTTGAGACTTATCTGTATCAGCTCGTGGTCTGCCAGTAGCTTGAGAACCCCAAGTATCACTTTGAGACGTGTCAGCTTTAGCTCCTTGGGATGAATTTATTTCTGGTTGTGACTTATTTGCAGTTTGAGAACCCCATGGTTCATTTCGAGACTTATCGGCTTTACCCCAGGATGAATTTGTTTCAATTTGTGATTGATCAGCGGGTTGAGAGCCCCATGGTTCATTTTTTTGTGACTTGTCGGCTTTAACGTCCCAGGCTAAATCTGTATCAGCTCGTGGTTTGTCAGCAGCTTGAGATCCCCAAGTATCACTTTGAGACTTGTTGACTTTAATACCCAAGCCTAAATCTGTATCAGCTTGTGGTTTGTCGGCAGCTTGAGAACCCCAAGATTCAGTTTGAGGCTTGTTGGTTTTAACACCCCAGGATGAATTTGTATCAGCCTGCGATTTATTAACTGTTTGAGAACCCCAAGAATCAGTTTGAGGCTTATCGGTTTTAGCACCCCAGGATGAATTTGAATCAGCCTGCGATTTATTAACTGTTTGAGAACCCCAAGAATCAGTTTGAGGCTTATCGGTTTTAGCACCCCAAGGAGAATTTGTTCGAGATTTGTTTGGAGCTTGAGAACCCCAAGGTTCTGTTTGAGGTTTGTCTGTTTTAGCACCCCAAGGAGAATTTGTTCGAGACTTAGTTGTAGCTTGAGAACCCCAAGAATCAGTTTGAGACTTGCCTGCTTTAGCAGGCCAGGGAGAATTTGTTTCAGTTTGAGATCCCCGAGGATCGCTTTGAGACTTGTCAGCAGCTTGAGCACCCCAAGGAGCATTTGTTTTAATCTGAGATTTGTCTGCCGTTTGAGAACCCCAGGAATCGTTTGGAGACTTGTCAGCGGCTTGAGCACCCCATGAATTTGGTTCAGTTTGAGGTTTGTTATTGGTTTGAGAACCCCAAGGATCGCTTTGAGACTTATTTGTGGTTTGAGCCCCCCCTGAATTTGTTTCAGTTTGAAATTTGTTAGTAGTTTGAGAACCCCAGGGATCGCCTCGGGACTTGTCCGTGGCTTGAGCTTGAGCACCCCATGAATTTGTTTCAGTCTGAGGCTTGTTAGTGGTTTGAGGACTCCAAGAACCGCTTTGAGATTTGTCCGTGGCTTGAGCACCCCACGTATTTGACTTGGTAGTGGTTTGAGCACCCCAGGAATCGTTTTGAGGTTTATCTGTGGCTTGAGCACCCCATGTATTGGTTCCAGTTTGTGATTTGTCTGCGGCTTGAGAACCCCAGGGATCGCCTCGAGACTTATCCGTAGTTTGAGCATTCCATGAGCTTGTTTCGGTTTGTGATTGAGCACCCCAAGAACTTGTTTCTGTCATCGATTTGTCTGTGGTTTGTGCACCCCAAGAATATGAATCAGTTTTTTGAGGCCATTCATCATTTCCACCAGCCGTAGGGCAGTCTTTTGATAAATGATTTTCATCTCCGCACTTAAAGCATTTTCGTCTGCCTTTTCTTGGTTCAGTACAATCACGGGAAATATGGCCCTCTTTACCGCAATTGTGACACGTTTGGCCACCAAATCCTCGTTTCTCACCTTCGGAACCAGTCGAATAAATTGAGCCAAGTTAGATATCAGTCAACGTGTTTAGCAAAAAAATATAATAAAATACTTACTCTCGTTGTCGCAATCTCTAGCTTGATGCTCAGTCGATCCACATTTGAAACTAAAATAAATTGTTAACGTATCATGCAAAGTTACATAACTTATTAAACCAAATTTTATTGTGTCTCACCATGCTCTATCTCCAAGAATGTTTTTACGAGCTGTTCCAAAATATTATTTATCAAATTAGTAAGTTATTTCGTTACTTTACGTTCAAGCATAATAATAACAATAATAATAAATGCGCACTTTCTGCATAGGAGTTATGTCGACGGTCTTCTGGGCAAAGCCTATAATAAATTATAAATTTAGTAAGTGTAAAATGATACTATAAACAACTTCAAAACTTTCCAAATAATAATAATAATACTTTGTCCAATGTTCAGCTGATCCACAGTGTTGACACGTCATCGGTCCCGTCTTTTCATACTCTAGGAATTACAAATTATGCAATACTTTTTAAGCGCATTATTTATTTTATAAATAATAAAACTAGGTATCGACTAAAAGGTTACCTCTTTTCGGCTGAGGACAATCCCTACAAAACAATGGGAATCATAAATATAAATGTATAAAGTGTACAAAATCACATTGTATTTTCGCGAAATAACACGCAGGGGTATAATTTCGAATTTTGGCCTAAATTAAGCTTAATTCTGGCCATTGTCCGAAATAACGCACATGCGCGTTATTTTGTGAGAATAAGGTAAATGGAATATAATAAATTATATACTTTGTAATATGCCCTTTCTCTCGACAATTGAAACAAGCGGGTTCACGATCGTCCCTCATGAAACCAGCATCAGCAAGCCATTCAACATTTTCACCTTCATCTCGCGCGCGAGATCCAGCAGTACGAGGAAGTCTGTCTGGAGATCCCATGATGATCGTAGCGACATATTTTTTTCCGGTGTTTCCTTGCAAATCAATGAGGCATTTTGTTAATGGAATACCTTCCCGCTCCTAAAATATACCATAAAGAAAAGTATTAAATAATTAATTGCTAATCAGATATAAATGAATTCAATGGGCGGATCTTTACCAGAGCTATTATTCTGCCTGTGCAATTAGCAGCTCTTAATTTTTTTTCGATTGATTGAAAATTTTCATCCGGCGTAGCTTTGGCATATTCTTCAAACGCTTCTTTAAAATCATCGATGTCTTTTTCTTTATCTGCCTTAAGGAGTTTTTCCCAAGCTTCTTCAGATGACATACTGGCAGGCTTAGGATTTTCCCCTAAATACTCTTATCGTTAATTTATTCACGTATAAACTTTTCAAAAACAAAAGAAAAATCTATTCAACTCATACATGGTATAGTTTTTCGAACTTTTAAAGGGCATCTGGCCGAAAGATGTTCCGAAGAACCGCATTGGAAACTAAAAAAAATTGTGATAAGGAACAGATAGGATCAAATCATAAACATAAAGAAAGAAGTATAATATATATATCCGATTATACGTTACCAGTTAAGCATTTTACTACCGTCACCTTCTTCAGTACATTCAGACGCGCGATGACCAGGCTGGTTACACTTGTAGCTGCGTATATATAAAGGTTATGAAAATGTCACAATTAAAGAAAAAAAAAGTGCACATATATCTATATGTCCGTGATTATACATTACCAGTTAAACGATTTACCACCAATACCTTCTTCAGTACATTCAGACGCGCGATGACCAGGCTGATTACACTTGTAACTAAGTATATATAAAGGTTACGAAAATGTCAAAATTAAAAAAAAGAGTATATATATATATATATATATATGATTATTATTACCAGTTAAACGATTTACCACCATCACCTTCTTCAGTACATTCGGACGCGCGATGACCAGGCTGGTTACACTTGTAGCTGAGAATATATAAAGGTTATGAAAATGTCAACAATTTTTAAAAAAAAAGTACATATACATATTTATATCTGTGATTATACATTACCAGTTAAATGATTTACCACCATTACCTTCTTCAGTACATTCGGACGCGCGATGGCCAGGCTGATTGCACTTGTAGCTGAGAAATAAAGGTTATGAAAATGTCAGCAAGTTAAAAAAAAAAAATATACATATATATATGTGATTATACATTACCAGTTAAACGATTTACCACCATTACCTCCTTCTTCAGTACATTCGGACGCGCGATGGCCAGGCTGGTTACATTTGTAGCTGAGAAATAAAGGTTATGAAAATGTCAGCAAGTTAAAAAAAATATATACATATATATATATGTGATTATACATTACCAGTTAAACGATTTACCACCATTACCTCCTTCTTCAGTACATTCAGACGCACGATGACCAGGCTGATTGCACTTGAAACTGAGTATATATAAAGGTTATGAAAATGTCAAATTTTTTTTAAAAAAAGTAGATATATATATGATTATAATTACCAGTTAAGCGTTTTACTACCCCACGTCTTATTTTCTTTCTGGGCTCCCCATGTATTATTATCTGGTTTGGATGTTGTGTCCCAAGAATTATATTCTTTAGATGCCTCCTTAGAAGCTCCCCATAAATCATTGTTTTGTTTTGACATTTCTCCAGAAGTATCCCACATATTAGTTTTATCACCCCACGTCTTATTTTCCTTCTGAGCACCCCATGCATCATTATCTGGTTTTGGTGTTGTGCCCCAAGTATTATCTTTTTTAGGAGTCTCTGTAGGACCTCCCCATAAATTATTACTTTGTTTTGGCATTTCTTCAGAAGTATCCCACGTCTTATTTAGTGTCTCTTTCTGAGCTCCCCATTTATCATTATCTGGTTTGGATGTTGTGCCCCAAGTATTGTCTTTTTTTGGAGTCTCCTTAGGAGTTCCCCATAAATCATTGTTTGGTTTTGGAATTTCTTCAGAAGTATCCCGCGTATCAATTTGTTTAGGTATAGTTTTGGGAACCTCCTGAATAATCCAAGTTGACCATTTTTGTGGTAAAGACTTTATGTGTTCCAGATTAATCGGATCGGTTTGAACCTCTTTGTTACACATAATCACAGAAGAATTCCTATCCCTTGATGCAGCCTTTTCTCTCCGTACACCTAAACGGATGAATTGATTAGAACAGAAATTTATAGTTAAACAACATAAATCATTACATACCTAACAGATCAGAATCATTATCGTAATTATGATCTTTTGGAGGTTGCGGACGAGGTACTTTTGGAGAAGTTTTAATATTATTATAACTTGGATCCCACGTGTCATCATCATCAGTTTTATTAGCACTAGCACTCCATGTCTTGGGAGAATTCTTTGATCCCCAATTGTTTTCAGGAGATGTTTGTTTCATTTGATTTGAAGGTTCTTTAGGGAACGAGCTAGCCACATTTGCTCCCCAACTGTTTTGTGATTGTGTTTGAGATTGTGTTTGAGGCACTTCACCCCATGTTGAATTCGACACCTTTACGGGTTTTGGTCCCCACGATTCTTCAGAAGAAAATACCTCCATATTTGATGGATTTGTACTATAAGCTGGTCCTCTAGACGATAAGGTCTGGTCCACAGGCCAAGATTCAGCATTTCCCCAAGTAGTCGACATATTACTGTTAAAAGATCAATATTTTATTTATTTTATTACACGATTTTGATCATAAAGACGAAGGCTCAAAAAAAAACCCCTCGCGATAACACCAGCTCATAAACAAAAGGCAAAAACGCGAGTAGGCCTTTATAACACGATTCTTTTTCAAGACAATTACAGCATATTTGCTTTTTTTTTTGAATTTAGGTTTTCTCACCTTTTATTCAATACTCTTTACGCGATCAATTTTTGGTAGAAAAAGAAAAAAAGAATAGATTTTACGGATTTTATGCGATTTGTAATATTATATATACATATGATATGACAGTGATAGATGACGCAAAACATATCACCCAAGCCACGAAAAAAAGACTCGTAAAATATTGAATGTCACATGTCACCTGTGAATCAGGTTTTTTCTAGAATCAGAACCGGTTTCAATACAGGAACTAATTTTTTTTTACGTGCGTATCAAATGTACGTACGTGTGTACATATATTTACGTACGTACGTGCATATACGGGCACCAAAAAAAAATTTTTAAACCTTTGTTTTTTCTAGCGATATATCCCTTAACTTGTTAAATTAAGATATCCATAGCGATTGAAAATCAGTTCCAACTCCACCCTGATATTACTATCTTTATAAGGAACGTTATTCTGTTCCTTACAAAGTACGTACGAATCACATTTTACATATTATGATTCTTGTAATTTTAACCTTTTCAGGGTATAAACTTCAGTTTGAATTATACTTCTCTGAGAATAACAAATATAATGTTTTTTTTTTTTTTAGTTTTAAGCCAAAGTTCTCTCTCTTTTTTTTTTTTTTTACAGTGAAATGAATTTGAATTTAATAATGCGCCTCTAAGTTCCGCAGGAAAATCTCTAAAATGTCGGGTCGGAATCCTGCAGAAGCTTTTTAGTTAGACTAGCATTAGCATTAGGTATTACTGCTGTATGACTTTATTAAGAAATTTAATACCAGGCCTATCCAGAGAATTTGACCCTGATGATTTAAGTTTAGACGTGAAATTTAACTACTGGATTTCAAGAACTTGGTCTGTACTAAGTTCGGATTGAACTTTAACTGGATCAGTTCTATTTTTGAATTAACTGAACTGGGGTGAACTAATTAACATTGGAATATCTCTTACAAGTTTCAAAGAGTTGAATTTTGTCTTTCTTTCTTTCCAAACTAGTTATTAGAGTTTATTAAGCGGATTATATAGTTGGGTTTTTATAGATTATATGTGCAAAGTTGTTATTAACACCCATGTACATATATGTATGCACACAGTACTTATACAAATCGTAATTTTTAAAAAATATAACATATATTAATAAAAATTATTATAAAAAACTATTTGTAGCTTTAAAAAAATTTTTTTTTTTTTTGAATATTAATGTTGAGACCGCTTTAAAAAAAATATATAAAAATAGTATTTAAAAATACAGATTTTATTATAAATACACACTATAGATGATAAAAAAAGCAAAACTCCCTATATGCATTTTTGTTTTAAAAAACAAGCACTATGAATTTTTTTTTGTATAATTATAGAAGGGTTTAACTGTGTACGTATAATTACTGTATTTTTAATTTAAGCATTTTAAATTTTAATGTTCCAATTTGTTAATTTTACCACTATTAAGACTACATCTTTTTTTATAACTTTAATACAGTACTAGCCAGTTTTAATAAATTTTAATTTAAAAAATGTTTTGAAAAAGTTATAGTTAACAAATAAAGATACAGAACATTAGACAGTTAGAACATGGAAATAACATATATAGCCGCAAGAGAATCCCGAATAATATATATAGAGGTTATATTGGAGTTTTGATTAAAAAGGTTCTTTTTTTATATATTTAAAAAAGCAGTTATTGGTCAAAAGATTATATTACATTTAAAAATGGATAAAATTCTTTAATATTATGTTAACAGAAGTGAATTAACTGATAATTTTAAAACAGTTTATATTTAAATTTTGGATAAATAAAAAAATTTTTTCCAGTAAAGTATATATATATATAGTCAACTCTGGATATAACGAATCTTTTTATAACGAAATCTGGATATAATGAACTCGAAATTTTTAAATTTTAATATTAGTTCGGTATAACAAGAGCTACAACTCTTAAGAAAACATAGTAATCCTATATAACGAACTCTTTTTTTGGCCAGAATCTAGGGTTCGGTATAGAAAGAGTTGACCGTATATTCATATATATATATATACAGTCAACTCGAATCTTTTTATAACGAAATCAAAATTTTTAAATTTTAATATTAGTTCGGTATAACAAGAGCTACAGCTCTTAAGAAAACTTAGTAATTCTATATAATGAACTCTTTTTTGGCCAGAATCTAGGGTTCAGTTTAAAAAGAGTTGACTGTATATATTTTTTTTACTTGATAAAAAAAATATATATATATATACAGTAAGACCTCTATAAGTGCACACTCTATAAGTGCACGCACTAAATTCTCTCTAAATGCACGGTATAACTTGGCTCCAACTTATAAGAGCATTATATATTTTTCTCTCTATGAATGCACTCTCTCTTTAATTGCTTTTTTTTACTATGGTCCCGAGGGGGTGCACTTAGAGAGGTCTTACTGTATATATATTAATTGAATAAATTTATTTAAATATTAAAACTTATACAGTATAAAATAAGATTAATTTGACTTTAATAAAAAGTTTATATTAAAACCAATATAACCTCTATATATATGGGCTGTGTTCTAAGAAAAGTGATCAAATTAATAAAAAAAAAAAGTTTTGCGAAAAATGGATTTTTTTATTATAAATTTATAATAAATTACAGACTTTAAAGAGTTATATATATTGCAATTTGTATTAAGACTACAGAATTTGTTTTTTAAATAAAAAATATTCCTGGGCTAATTTTTGGATTAGTTAAGCTCAAAAAAAATTTTTTGAAAAAATTGTCAATTTGGTCCCTTTTTGCAGATTACACCTATATTATTCGGAGGTCCTGCTACAAGTGGGTAGCTACTAAAGTTGCTGGTGAAACGAAATTGTACAATAATTATCTAAAATCTGATTGGCGATTGCATTTAATAGCCAATCAGATTTTAGATAGTCGCCAGTTTCACCAACACAATTTAGTTTCACCAGCAACTCTAATAGAAACCTAATTGTTACGTATATACTATAATAAAAAAAATAATATCTTTATTTTTATATATCAACAAGATACCTTATATCAGGTAAAACCAGCTTTAAACCTAAGATTTCTAATTTAAAATAATAAAATGTTCAGATTTTATACTGTATAATAAAACAAAATAAAACCAAATTTTACTATATACAGTATTCCAAAAATACTAGATATAAATTCACTTATTACATTAATTGTGCCCAAAAAATTGATCTACATCTTGATCACCAATAAAAATTAATTGGGTGTAACGTGATAATCAAACCAATTTAAATCAGAAATATCTAACGTGTTTTGCTTAGTTTGTTTCTTTTTGCATCTTCCCTATTCTGAGGTTTACCGTAGATCAGTTACACCCTTTGATAAGGGAAATATTTTTGTTAGCAAGTTCCTGCATAAAAAATGCAGGGGAAGTATGAATCACCTGTTATCAATACGAATAAATGTTTAAAACTCTTAAAATGTTCAAAAAGAACTAATTCAAGCTAGTGACGCGTCGAATACTTCGAAAAATATGTGGGATTATTAAAGAAACATCAACAAAACAATAATGCGTGGGATATTTTAGAGGCTTCTAAAGAAATAGTTAAACAAACACCTGAATCAAGTAATAATAGACGTGAATTTGGAAAGCTATTTGCGCATTAATTAATTAATAAAATAAGGTTGGTACTGATTTGCTGGTTCCAATGTTAAGAACCACTCTATGAATATCTTTCCAACCATAAGATACACCTCTACGTGGTGGTTGGAACAAGTAGGAGAGATAATCTTCGAAACTAAGTATCTTTATATTGATTTTATATAATTTAAAAATATATACAAGCTGATTGGCATGTCTATATATATCCGTGCCTAGGTGTAGTTTATTCGGTAGATTTTAGTAAAGTTAGATCTGTCCAGGTTGGTCTCTTGTTTAAACTAGTTTTAAATTCATGATTATCAGTAACATGAATCAAAATTGACCAATTAGATCATTTATAAACCACGCGTTATGATGATTAGAGATGATGACTTTCTTCGAGGTAAGAACGTCCCGAGTGCCCCGAGTTTGTAGATCGTTACACAATTTATTAATGATTTTTTTTTATACGTTTTACAATACT